GAAAATCTTATTATAATGACGCAGATGTGCTCTTATCTTTAAATTCTGAAAATGGCTAAAACAAAGTAGGAATGCATGCTATCATTATCTGACAATATTGGCTATTAAACTAACTACATATCAAACTTCTGCCATTTTATCATTGTTTTTCTGACAAACAGGTGGGAATTATGGCTGTCCCAACAGATGCATGAGTCTGTTACAGAAAAGATGTTGAAGTAAAAATGTCAGTTGGGTTGTTTTTTTTTTAAGTTTCAGGAATGAAAACTCAATCTGCTATTTACAGAACTGCATAGGCTAGGAAGGAAAGATCTACACTGCGTCGTTACGACAGAGTATTTGGGCCAGGCTAGCGATTATAATTTTTTCTTTTATTTGAGAATAAAGTCATAATATTATGAGAATAAAGTCATAAAATTCAGAGAATTAAGTCGGAATATTCCAGGAATAAAGTCAGAAAATTACAAGAATAAAGTCGCAACTATATGACTATAAAAAGTTGTAATATTATGAGAATAAAGTCCTAATATTACGAGAATAAAGTTGTATTTTATGACAAATCTGACAAGAAGCAATTTCTTCCCTTAAATGAGAAATGTCGAGCGTCGTGAAGTTATACTATGTTTTAGCACACCAGCATCACATTGAGCAGTATATCAAAGTGGACTATGGTATGATGACTTCGTTCTCTCAATTTATCTACTTTATTCTCAAAATGTTATGAGTTTATTCTCATAAATGTATGAGTTTATTCTCATAATATTATGACTTTATTCTGGTATTTAAAAAAAATAAAAAATCTCTAGCCTGGCCCTAATACTCCGTTGTAGTATGGGTTATCAGCCAGATGTTCTAAAATATTGGCAAATTAGATATCCACTAAAAGTCCTGCTCCAAAAAATAAATCATGCAGTAAAGCCGTTCACTGGAACAGCTTCATTAAGTAGCTTAACTGCAAAGCTTTCCTAATGCTCTCATGGATCAAGTAATGGAAAGAATAATTAAGAGAGTAACAGTTGAATAAATTGATGCAAAACTAATGTGTTCAACTAATTTAAGCTGGCACTAGTCTCTGCAAAGAAAAACAAAAGTAAAAAGATAAAAAAATGCATATTCTTTAAATTGCCATTTCTGAATTGCTGCCTGTGGACCTTGATGTCTCCAGTTTCTAACAGGAAAAACATCTACTATTAGGTGCACTTGAGGTTAATGAGACTGAATATAAAGGGTAAACAGGCTGTTTTCCAGTCAGCGCTTATGAAGCCTGAGAACAATGTGCCATAGAAATTGACTGTAAGTGCTCACATCAAGAACAGTTTAAATGCTGATCTACTTCCTAAAAAATGTGCCTTTAGATAACGCCGTCGCTGTAGTTCTGATGCTGTGTCTGACAGGAAGTCCATTGAAACAGAAGTGTGGATCTGAGAGATGACTTATCTGAGCCTCCCTTACGGTCAGGGCAAGGCTGCATTTACACCAGTGATGCATATATTTTCATTTGTCTGGGACAGTTCTCGCACTGAGGCCTGATATTAAAATCAAGTCAACGTTTAGTACTTTGCAGGGATTTACTTTAGGTTAGTGTGCTTTTATGTGATCAACCTTTACCGATGTGTCCATCCCGTCATTAGTCATGAGAGCTTTTCCATCTCTGCTGATAAAATCATACCAGCATCATGATGCTGCTTCCACCATCACCTGGCAACAGGTTGATGGGTTAGTTTGCCTACATTTTTACATCATATT